CAAGGCAGGTGCTCAAATAGTGAGTATTTGGCTAGGATGAGTTGTCCCAAGGTTGTGAATTCTAGAAAGTATCAGATCTGAGGCCCAAGAAATTCCATCCACTTGGTATACCAATTCAGCCAATAGGGCTGCAACTTTAAAGGACAAAAATGCAGTAGACTTTCTCAAGCATCTTCTGAGCAGGGAGGGGCAGAAAGAATGGCCCGACAACTGCTAAATTGGGCTAATGGATATATAGATATTCTATATCCAAATGGATAAATGGATAGCATGGATATTACACATTTGGATTATACTAATGGACATTTTACTATTCGGCCTGCTTTTGTATATGTTTAAAATTTTCATTATTACAAGTATAAGTAAGAGAAAGGGAAAGAAAACATCTCAGTGTATAGTTCCAGCTAGAAACCAGCCTTAGCAGATTGAGATAAGAGAGAGGAGGGTGAACCTGTTCTTTCCCACACAACAGCACAACGTTTTTTTGGAAGAGAAATGAAAAGTATTTGGGTCAACCTGGTTATTTAGCAAGGGTTTATTAACTTTCTGCATCCCTCCTGCTTTTCAAACTGGGAGTAATAGTTCCTTCTCAGTGCTTCCGCAGGGATAAAGAAATCTATGTAAACATTCCATAGCTTGGTTCTCTGTTGGCCGCCAAGAGAGGTAAGGCACTGGATTTTTTAATTTGGTGGATGAAGGAACATAATGGCAGCTTAATTTGAGAGAAGGGCATTGCTTCAACAATCATTAATGAAACAGAACCTGTTATTTCCCTCTGTAGCCTGTCACAGACAGCATCTTATCTGATCTTATCAAGTTGCTACCCAGCATATGATGTTCCTGATTTGAAAGTGAGCTAAATAAGACAAGGAGAACCTCATTAATGCTCAAAATGTTTTATGATTTTCAAAGAATTCCAATTTTTTAAAAAGATTTTATTTATTTATTTGAGACAGAGAGAATGAGATAGAGAGAGCATGAGAGGGAGGAGGGTCAGAGGGAGAAGCAGACTCCCTGCTGAGCAGGGAGCCCGATGCGGGACTCGATCCCGGGACTCCAGGATCGTGACCTGAGCCGAAGGCAGTCGCTTAACCAACTGAGCCACCCAGGCGCCCGAATTCCAATTTTTTTTAAACTTATTTCTGGAAACCACTGCTATAGGCAAGGACAATTATCTATTGTCCCCATTTTACAAATAAGCCACAGAGGCTTAGGTTAAATGACTTGTCCAAAACTTCTCAGGGGTTCCAGAGATGAGCCCCTATGAAAGTCTTCTGTGCTTTCAGAGCCCAGGCTGGTCTACACAGCTTCCTGTATTGTTTGCATTATGTGGATGTCTTGGGTCACTTCCTACCACCAAACTTCAGTCTGTCTTCCTCACTGGCTACAAAGCAAAATTCTGAAAATCTGTTCCTCAATGAAAATGTTCTTTGCTCCTCAGAGCGGTGTCTTCAGGGAGAGATCTGCAAAGTCGAAGCAGGGGAGTATGGGAGGGGAGAAGGACTGAGAACAAGGATGTGGTACGGGCTGGGGCAATTCTGCGAAGAGAGCTTGCCAAATTCGTGTCTGTGGAGATCAAGTTGGCTTCTCCTGGAGGGAAAACCTGGGGGCATGGGGGCGTGGGGTGGGGGGAGGCTGGTTTCCTGCAGAACCAGCTGGGACCTAGGTCCCTTTTCATTAGGGCCCCTCTGCTAACTCCTGATGGGGAGAGTGCTAGAATGGGGGGCTTCACATTCAGACCTGGCTTCTGTTGTCCTAACTTTGTGCTCTGGACAGGACAGCCCCTAGGAAATGGCTCCCGTTAAGTGTAAAATGAAGAGCTGTGGACACGTGAGTAATGCCATGTTGGAAGGGTCCGCCCAGCACAAAGCCTGACCTGGACCCTCAGTAAGTGAGATTCTTTCTTCTCCCTTCCTTCCTGGCAAAATCCTCCCAAGAATCTATTCTTCCGAGTAGACGCTTAAAGTCTGGAAGGAGAGGAATCAGAGCCCCCAGGGAACCAAATGAGCCCCACCATCTTCCTTTCCTCTGCCAGTGACCCTCCAAATTTCTGAACCGATCACGGTTCGCTAGGACCGCAGACGCTCCTGGAAAAGCGGGCGTGCAGGGTGGGGGTGCGCGGGTGCTGCTCTTTTCCAAGGACCCCGGCCTGGCCGCCGGGTCGCCGGGTCGCTGGTCTGCGTGCCCGCTCTACAGCGCCCCCGCGTGGCCTCTTGCGCCGGGAGGACGAACCTGTCACTGGTTTCCCCATACTGGGTCCCCGAGCAGCGACCCCGCCCCGGGGGGTCGCTGGCATTTGGCAATGCAATCGCTTGGGGACCACTAGACACTGGGAGAGGATCAAAGCATTCCTGTGGAGCCCGAAGCGCCCAGGGATGCACTTTTGTTAGCCTGGCCTCACCTCGGCAATAAATTTTTCTGCGAAAGAAGGGGCAGGGGTGGAGAGCCAAGGGGGGCCTGGTGGCTGGGAGGACGAGAGTGTCATGCACCTGTGCTCCCGTCCCGTTAAATCAGTAAGAAGCAAGTGACATCTCCCCCCTTTCTTGCCCCCTTCGAACCGCTTATTTCCCTCCTTTAGAACACCCGCCTGTTTGTGGGGTCAGCGTTTTCAAAGAGAATATTTCCTCCAGCTCTTAAAGTTTATGTCGCACTTTGCTATAAGGGGCGCGCCCTCAGGCGGGGCTTTCGTCTCCTCCCTGTTCCCCCCTCTCCTCCCCACACACAGACCTTTTCCATTTTCTCACCCCACCTTGAAGTATAAAAAAGTATATGGGACATAACTTTAAAGATGATTTGTATCAACTTCAGGTCTTTTATTTTGCAGAATAACAGATTGACGCCTCAAGGACAGAGGGTGAGGAAAGTGGCCCAAGGTCAAGCGTGACTTTAGTTGGCAAAACCGAGGATCGAACAGGAAAATCCTTAGAGAGTCTTACTACTTACCCCCCCCCCACTACTTATTTCACAGACGGAAAGAATCCCCGAACCATCTTAGGCTAAGTCAAATACTTTGTAAAGGTGTCAGTGTTCTCACCAACTGACTTCAAGGCTCCGCACTCACACTTCAGTCACTGGGATATATGGACAGTCGCTTGCTAGCCACAGGAAAGCAAAGACAGAACCAAGTGCTGTTTGATTCTCTCTTCCTATCCACTCCCTCCCCGCCCCCAATCCTTAGCAGACACTATGGTACATCTGAGCTGTGCAGGTTACCCTGTCAGGGTCTTCTACCAAGCTTCAACAAAGGGATGTTTCTGGTAGAAATTAGGAGGATCCCCCCTGCCAGGAGAGACCCTTCTCAGAGAGACTTCCTGGGGCTAAGAGCAATGGAAATAGTTTGGCTTTCCCCAAAGCCCAAACTCAGACCCCAGACCCAGCATATCACACACAGCAAGGCTAGGAAAGCCTGTTTAAATGGCTGGTTAGTTTTTGCTTAAAATCCTACTTTGGAAACTTTTTGAGTTGTGAGAACCCTCTTTGTCACCAGAATGAATCCTCATTGGATCTGGGCTCTAGAGAACTAACTCTTTTGTGATATGACTCTATGTTCCCCTCTTTCACTAGTTGACAGATTTTTTTTTTTTTTTTTTTTTGCTTTCACATTTTTGACTAGCATTTTGACTAGACAGGATCAATCTTAGAAGTACGGTAGAGCAGAAATACCACCAAGATGTCAGAACCAACACTAAAGTTTGTTTCTAATTCTTTTCCTCCTCCTCTTCCTCTTGTCCTCCTTGGACTTTTCTCATGTCCTTCATCTTATTACCATGAGCCATGAGTCCATCAACAGACGTTAAAGTTTGTTAGAGACTTTAAGGTTTGGGAGAGAATCTGGAAACCACTGAATCTTACTCCTTCACTTTTTAGTCAAGGAATCTGAGGCCTAGCAAGGTGAAAAAAATTTACCCACTGCCTGCTACACATGGATGAAATTAAATTTTCACCATAGTGCCTGAGGACCCCTCCCTGTTTTGCTTCCTCCTCTCTCTCTCTCTTGATTTTTCTCTACTTGGTATAGTTGGACTGTCAGGAAAATATTGAGAGTGATTTGAGCATGTATAAAGTCTGCCCCCTCCAAATGTTAAGCCCCAATATGGGATGGGAGTGGGGGTGCAGGTTCTCAGGGTTAAGGGTTTACTGTTTCAGTTAGTCATGAGGCCCCCTAGGGGTAGTGGGAGGTCCACAGCAGGAGTCCTGTGTGTGCGCACAGGGCTTCCCGATGTGGCAACAAGCCACACGTCCTCTCCTGATGACCTTCCATAGCATGGCACTGCCCCTGGGGTAGAACCCAGGTTCCACTACCATTCTTGAGTCTATACCTCCCCTGATGACCATTTGGAATGGGTACTGAGGAGTGAAGGAGTTCTGTGGTTGCCTCATCTCCTAGCCCTACATGACTCTCCAGTGAATTGAGCCACGTTTCCCAGCAAGGAAGATGAATACTGCCTGAGGTTTGGGACCCGAAGGCTGGCAGATCCTTCAGAAATTCAAGGGAGACAAGATTGCTTCACAGTTCCGCCATCAGACTCCATATCCCTCTGCAAAGGGCACTTTTTTTTTTTTTTAATTGTATGAAGGCATCATGGAGCCTGAGAAGTGACTGTGGGCCCGTGGGACCCCTGCGGCCACTGTGTTGCTGTGTGCCTCCCTAGCAAATCCCATGAGCCTCTCTCAGCCTCAGTTTTCCTTTGCATTTGTAAAACGGGGGGCCTGGACTAATCATGTCCCTCTTGGTTTCAAATGCCTGTGATTTAAACCCTGTCTCATAAGGAGGAGGGAGGAGAACGCAGATCGCATTGTCCTTTTGTTCAGCTTTTTTGGACACGCAGAACAAGGAAAGGGAGAACAGTTATCTCCCGAAAGCTGCCCCCCGCCCAACCCCCTTGCTTGTGACAGGTCGTATATTTGATTACGCAAAGCAAATTGGGAAATCATATCTCTGCAATCCCATCTGGGATTATTTATTTCGCCGCGTCCACAGCCGGTCAAAGTTGTGAGAGGATACAATGTTAAAAGTAGCTCCCCGCGAGAGGAGGTGGATTCGAGTTCATCTCCAGAGAAACCAGGGCCATAACTGGCCACAGCAAAGCATTTCTGCGAGACCCAAAAATTTCTAAGCGTCATTCACCACCCCAGGCGCTCGCGGCAGGTTGATCTGGCTGGCGCTTCAAGCTGGTGATTCAGGGCAGGGGTCCTCCAGGGTCCAGCTTTGTCTCCAGGCCTGGGAAGCTGGAAAGTCGGGCCCTGGGGAGGAGATCAGGCTTGGAATTTCTGTAGGCTAGGTCGCGGAGTTAAAATGACAACCATAAGCTAATACAAGTAACAACTTCCAGGTACTCCAGGGTCAGTATGGCCGGGTCACCGAGCCAGGGAATCTACAGCGTTCTGTCCTTTAAGGTTAACCTCTCTTCGCAGCTGGGGAAGAGTGAGGCGCAGAGGGAGGTGAAGGATCTTCTTCACTACCACCCAGCCGAGGAGGGGCGGCAGACCCCGCGTTTGAAGACCGGTCTGCCATCTCCGAAACCCGGGCGCTCGGCCTCCAAGCCGGATCTACCACGCCGAGCCACCGCCCGGAAACCGGCGCACGGCCCGCTACCGTCCGGAGGCCGGGGGCTCAAGGAACCCGGCGAGAGGTGGCCGACCAAACCGGGGGGGGGGGGGGGAGCCAAGCGCCCTCGAGTCTCACCCAAGCCGGCGTGGCCACGCGGGCTGGAGGCGCTGCGTGCTGCGGGCGGGGCGCGGGCGGGCCAGCGTGGTGCGCCGCAGCGGATGCACGCGTGAGCGGGAGCTGATCCGAAACGCGCTGCCCTCTTTTTCTTTCTTTCTTTCTTCTTCTTCTTTTTGGAGGGGTATTTGAAGGAAAAAAGAAAGACACCTTTACCAAGAAAAAGAAGAAAAAGACCCCCTCCCCCTTCCGCTTTGTCGTTCAAGTTCCCCCGCTGGACTTGGGAAAGGGGCTCTTCGAAGCGGGTAGGTCCGAGCTGTGCGGGAACTGGCGGCGGCGGTTAGGGTGAGAGAGATTTGGGGTGGGGGGAGGAGAAGGAAGCAGAGATAGAGAGGCGCTGAGCAGCTAAGAGAGGAGATTCCACGGGCCTCGCCCACCAAGCCAGACCCGCAGAGGCCAGGCAGCCCCGCTGCTTTGTCATTTACAAGAGGGACTCGGGCTAGCACTTGGTAATTTGGTGTCGGTTTACCAGGCAAGGGACTTCTGTTTCCTCACCTAACAGGTCCTCAACTCATGGCCCGACTCCTTTTTAGAGAGGAACCCGGAGAAAGGAACTGGACTCCCTGCTCCCTCGCCTTTCGGTCGAGCTTTCGAGGCTTTCGGCGGCCGGGCCGTTGGTCGATCAACCAACGGAACGTTCATTGAACAGTTCCTACTAGGTGAAGACTACACGGAGGAAGGCCACTCTTCCCATCTGGCAGATGAGACAACTGATGCGCAGAAATAGAATTGACCGAGATCACGTGGTCAGCGGACCACGTCTACAGCCCAGGCTCTCTGACTCCTTTTGCTTCTGCATGTTTAAATAAGTTTGTGCAAGCTTAGATTCATTCCTTTTTCATTTCCCCAGAAAAATGGAGATAATTTCTTGTTTAATATCGGAGTTCCTCAGACTTCCTGAAGTTCACCCCAAGATAAAAACATCACTTTCCCCACTCCCTTCCCACATACCTCACTTCTAAGCGATTGTTGGAATTGTGATACTCAGGGGGCCATTCGGGGCCAGGGAATGGAGTGTAATTCAACTGGATCGCGATTACAGCTGCAGGCCTCCCAGTGGCAGATGGTGTGCCGGGAAGGTGGTAGGACAGGTGGGGGGTGGGGTGGAGGGGGACAAGCGGAGTTGGGCTGGGAAGTATGGAGGAAGCAGTAGGGGCTGTCTTGTCGGTTTCTGCTAAGGGTGGAGGAGTGCTGAGAAGGGAGCGGCTCTGGGCCCACCCACCTGAAATCTGCGGGCCCAATCCCCTTGGCAAGCGGGAGAACGCCGCCTTCCCCACGTCCCGGCAGGAGAGGCCGGTCCAGCCGACCCACGTTCTCGGGACCTTGCTTTCTCGGTTTGCTCGGAGTCCCAGGAGCCGGCACCACTGTCCTCGGGTCCTACTACCTCCCCCACCCCTAGCCCCCATCTCCTGCCCTAGTTTTGCCCGCATGGTTTACTGTACACAAATCCCTCTTGTTTCCTCCTTTGTAGCAGCTTTTCCAACTCCAACTAGTTCAAGGACTGTCTGTCTGGTTTATTTTCTGTTTAGGAAATTGCCACTCAGTGCCCCTTTGCCCTCCTGTTCCTTCCCGGCTCCCCTTCCCCTCAATCTATTACCCCACATTAGCCAACCTACTTTCTTGATTTTGTTTCTTAATATTCAGAATAACTAGTGAAGGGCTAATGATTTCATATCTTCCCCCGCAAAAGCAATAAATGAAATAAAAGCCCAGGGTGACAACCGCGCGCACACGCGGCCAGCCCTGGTGGAGGTTTGTCGTTCACTTTCACGTCGCAGGGGAGAAGCACTGAAATGCGTGTTTGCAAAAGCAGAAATGTAGCTAGGAAGAACAGACGCAGAATAGTTGATACAAACGTGTTGTGTCCTGTTACAGGAGGGTTGCTCATAACGCCAGGTACAAAAATTAGACGGGGAGCCGGGGAATAAAATAAAAAAACGGGGACCCATTGTGAGTCTTTGTGGTTGGGAGCGAAGTTTCTGAGACTTCAGAGAAGAGGCCGACCAGTCCATTGCTCTCCCAGCGACCACTGCGTGACCCAGGGCTCCTCTTTGAACCTCAGTGTCGTCTTTGGGGGAAAATGGGGAAAATAACACATTTCTGCTGTGGTTGAGAATCCAAACGCTCTAACGTAGGTGAACAAATGCACCTCGACGAGTGTAAGTAACTACGAAAAAGGTAATAAAAATCATTGGTGTTATTAGTGGGGCCAAGCGAGAGGCACGAAAGGCCTGCGTGACGCTTTGTCTCGTGTCTGAGCGTGCACGGCTCCCAATTTACCCTCTGAGACGCCCAGAGCAACTGAGCAGCCTACTGCAATAATTAGGACTGTTTCTTGTGCTTCCTTCGCTGGACACCGCGAGAGGCTCCGGGGAGAAGCACCCGCACGAAGGGAAATCCCAGTGTCTGGTTACCAGGACAGAGCTTTGCAACTCTGCCAAAGGCTTGAGAATACCTGCCCGTCCCGCCGGCCGATCTCGTTACTTTCACAGTAATCCCTAAACTGCCCCCTTTCCACTGCTCAGAACTTGGTTAACTTCTTTCCATGGGCTCTGAGAAAAGAGATGTTAGAACCAGTTCAGCAATTTCCTTCTTTTAACACATATTTATCGCAGGCCTACTATGTGCTCAGTGCAATGGCACTCAATTTCCCAATCTCTCCTAAACCGATCCTGAGAGGCACTGATTATTTAAAGGTGTTACTAGAAATGCGTCTAAGTGATTTTAAATTCATTTCAAGAAATAAAATGTAACGTTGAAATAGGGGACTAATTCAACCTGTTGAAAACCTAACTTATTAAACATTTGCGTAAGGGATTTTTGAGACGGTAGAAAGTCTTTCTCTTTATAAATGCACTCATGCACACTAAAAAAGTCATCCTTAAAAAAACCCAGCTTCGTTTAAAAACATGCTTAGAGTGAATATATTGCACCTAAATCTCTTAATGGCATGTATTTCCGTCCCCCCCGCCCCATCAACTAACAGTAATTGACATCGGAGAAAAATGTTAGTGACGTGGGTGACTTGGCGACCTGCCTGCCTCGCGGGTTTGATGAAAGTTAACGAGGAACTACTTTGCACTTCAAGGATGAGCGGCACTAGGCACAAAAATATCTACAGATCATTTGTCCGTCAACCCGGCACTGTGGTGGTGCAAGGTAACCACTGATTTAGTCTTGCAGGACAAAGTAGGATGCCGCTGTGCCCCCGATCAGAGAGGCCCCACTTCCGCGCCCAATTTTGGGTTATTGAGTCGCGGAAATACTGGAGATGCTGATAACGTAGAGACCACCACCAATCTTTCTGACCACTGCCTTGACTAGTACCTTCTCTTGTGAACAACGCGATTCATAAGAGTGTGTTTCTGCTTGTTTCCTATAGTCCGCGAGATAAATGGCGACTTCACCCCAGCAGACGCTGTCACACTTCGGGTTTAACGTAGGGACAGACGACCCCGCTGCACCGAACGCAGCGCGGGACGATTTTCGGGAGGAGCGCGGAAGGGAGGGGCGCGACGGCCGCGAGGGGGCGGAGAGCGCCAGCCCGGCGCGCCTCGGCCAATCAGCGTGCACACCGCCTGACAACCGTCCAATTAGAGGGCGCGGAGCTCGGGGCCCCGAGCCGATAATACTAGGGAAGGGAGCAGAGGCTGACTATTGCAGCAAGGGGCGCTGCGCCGCACGCCGCTGCGTGCGCCCGCCCCGAGAGCCCGAGATCTGAGCCAGGCCAGGGCGGCCCTACCTTCCCGCCCAGACTGGGTCCGAGGAAGCCGAAAGCAGCTTCAGCGAGGTGAAGCGCTCGGGGCTGCTAAGGACCGATTAGAACTTTGCAGAGTCCGGGATGTGCGGGGCGAGGCCGCTGAGAACTTGATTCATCTTCTCCACCCTTCTCCCCTACTCCCCATCCACTGGGCTCCAGGCCTCCAGCTGTCAGCCCCCGATTTCGTGGCAGGGTGTGGCGACCCCGATTTCTTTTTGCAAGCACAGCCAGCAGCCCAAGAGCCAGGTCCCAAGGCTGGATATCTTTTTGCCTCGGCTGCTAGCCTGGGCCTCAGAGTCTTGGTGAGTGCTGTGATATTGTTCCGGGTGTCAGGGAGGGCAAAATCACCTTTTCTTTTCTATTTTACTTGCATGTCTTGCCTCTAAGTGCAAACCCTGCCCGATGTATACGGAGACCGTGCAGCTCAGCCCTGCGCGGCTCAAGCACTATTGAGGCTGGAAGGACATCTGCAGCTCCATGCTCAGTGTCCTTACGGGGCTCTGACAGGAGAAAAATTTTGATTTTCAGTTGATTATTTGCTGGGGGTGGGGGGCATGAAAGGACCTTTCCAAGCCCAAAAAGGGGTCCTTGTGGTGGTGTAAGAGGATGAAAGGCACTTGGAAGGCGTAGGATGGTACTTTGCTGGGTCTGAAGGACCCCTGTGATCTAAAGGAAAATGACTCTCCCATCGACGTTTTCCTATTCATCATGGCCATACTAATTAGGTGTGGGGAAGCCTGACAAGTAGCCTAGGCCGGCCTAGGTGGACACAATACTTTTGTGTGTGAGAGCAGTGCGTTACCTAGGGACTTGTCCCCAAAGCGGGTGTAAAGCCAGAGAGGTCTGTGGTTAAAGGTCAGGTGCTCATAGAGCACTTAGAATCAATAGATAAAAACCTCGTTGGGTTGGGGATTTCTGGGGACCCTAAAGATACAAGAAAGGCACTGTGGTGTAGATGTGAGGGACGTGGAGAGACAGGGCTCCTCAAGGGGCCAGGGGCGATAGCCCAGGAGCTTGGGGCCCAAGGCCGGGGGTCGGTGCCTGACGGCGGTGGGTGCGCCTTCGGGTCTTTCCGTGTCTCCGCAGAGCGCAGGAGACTGAGCGTAGGCCGGAGCGAGGCGCAGCGCGCCATGGCAGGCCGGCCGGCAGCGGGCCCGGCAGCCGGAGACTGGGAGATCGACGTGGAGAGCCTGGAGCTGGAGGAGGACGGCCGCGGGCCGCCGCCGCCTACGCCGCCCGGGCCCAGCCCGCCGTCGGCCGACGCGGACGGCGAGGACGACGAGGACGAGGACGAGGACGACGACGCGGAGGACGCGGGCGACGCGCCCCCGGGGGTGCCGGGCCGGCCGGCGCAGCAGCGGGGGCCACCGCCGGGGCCAAGCCCCGCGCCGCAGGCTTCGCCGCCGCAGGCCGGGCCCCCGGGGCGCGGCGCGAACGCGGGCGGCGGCGCGGAGCCGCGCAAGCTCAGCCGCACGCCCAAGTGCGCGCGCTGCCGCAACCACGGCGTGGTGTCCTGCCTCAAGGGCCACAAGCGCTTCTGCCGCTGGCGCGACTGCCAGTGCGCCAACTGCCTGCTGGTGGTGGAGCGCCAGCGCGTCATGGCCGCCCAGGTGGCGCTCCGGAGGCAGCAGGCCACCGAGGTGCGTACCCGCCGGGCCCGGGGGGCGCCTCGCCGGAGACCCGGGCCGCCGGGGGGGTCGGGCGCGGGGAGGGACGCGGCCGCTCCCGGGCCCCGGGCCCAGGGCCGCGGCGCCAGGCGCTTCCTGGGAAGCGTGGTGAGGACACTTCTCTCCTCGCGGGGAGTCGGGGCGGGGTGGAGTGCAGGCCGCGGGCACCGCCGGGGGCACTTGGCCGGAGAGAAAAGCAGGCAGAGAGGCCTCGAACGTGGCTCGGAACTTTGTGGGAAAGACTTTTTTTTTTTTTTTTTTATCGTTTGTATGTTAAAAGTTTATTTTGGTGGTGCTGGGGGGGGGAGGAGGACAGTGGTTGCCGCAGTGCACCGCTTCTATCGTCCGTCACTGCGGATCTCGGGAAAAGAACCACGCAGCCGGTTGTGCGCTCCGCGCTCCCGCTGTCGCGGGCCACTTAACAGGGGCAGAAGGTGCTGCCCACTTTACAGAGGAGAGCAAAACGGCATGGGACGTTAGGTGCCCGCAGCCCAAGGTCGCGAAGCCAGAAGCTTCTGACCTTTGAGCCGGTGGAAGGATCCCTGCTGCCTCGCACCGTGGGGCTCCAGCTGTGAGAGCCAGGGTTTTCTTTACGGGTGAGGCTCTTTTTGAACTTAGCATTTCGCGTTTCCTTGTGGTCCTGCGCACGGAGAGCTCAGAGCGAGGGAGGCTGCGCGGGGTCCCCTCTCCCAGATT